ATGTATTTCTTTTTGCTGTGGTTGAGACCTACCCTTAAAACATAACACTTATTCCTACTGTTAATTGTCTGCTTGAATATAAGGTGATAAAATGAGAAAAGGTGAGTCTGAGAAAAACAAAGTGGAAGTATCCATGAGTTTGAAAGCTGTTGCAGAATTCAATTAGATTTATCCTTTCCCCTCTTTTAAACTGAATAATAATTTATCCTGGTAAAAGGACTGACAAACTAGTTGAGTCTTGCACCCATTCTAGTTAAGACTAGTGGAGGAAATATGAGTGAGAGTGTATGAAACCTTAGGCTGTTCAATGCAAATTTGGTGAACTGTTAGTACCCTGACACAAATATATTCAAGGCTTGGGAGTTTTAAGGTCAGATTTTTGGATCAGAAAAATCTCCTCTGCAGTTGGTGCTAATTTGTTCTCCAGTTATCTGACTCAGCAGGGTAATTCAAGTCTGAAAGGACACAGAAACAGGTCATGGACGTTATCAGTGGGGTTGCTGGAACCTCCAGGGAAGGAGACCACATTAATTGTAGTGATAATCACGTAGTAAAAGGTTTCAACATGTAGATATTTCTATAATGTAGACACACCTATGAGACTGCTTCCTCGCACTTTTTACCAAACTGTGCCCATTTTCAAAATAATTCTCAAGAGAATTATAGGAATATCCTTGCTGTTATTCACAAATGAGACAATTTTAAACAAGACAAATATTTTTAAATGTTTATATGATACCCAATCATTTAAGTTGGTTGGGTTCTGAACAAGTAAAGTTTGTGTTGCATAATGCTTGATTGTTTGGGCTTGTTTTTATGAAAGTTAAAGTCACTTTTTAAAATGTATGTGTTTCATGTGAATCATGTGACCCAGAGAATGCTGCCTATGTAAATTTGGTGAAATGTTAGTACTCTGACACAAATATATTCAAGGCTTGGGAGTTTTAAGGTCAGATTTTTGGATCATAGGCAACAAGAGGAGAATTAAACTCTGGGTAGCATATAATATTAGAATGGTTTGCTTCTCTGCAAGTTTTACAAGCTAGTCATTCATTAAATGTTCATTGATTTAATATTCAAGCATCTTTTATACACAAGTTTTATTCTAGACATTGAAAATATTATAATGCCTAAGATTTTTATAGTCTGGCAGAGCTTACAGCCTGATAGGGATGAGAGATGCAAAACTACTTCATAGTTAATATTTAGTTACAGTTGTGTTACAGTTGTGTTAAGGAATATGAACAAGGAAGCTTTCCTTATTCTGGGAGATCACAGAATAACTCTCTTAAGGCAGTGAGTGACAAGCTGACTGAGGCTCAAAGGATGACAGGAATTGATCAAGGAAAGAAACAGAGAAGACTGGCCAAGCAGAGCGAAAAGAGTTTAGCAATCCAGGGAACTGAAAGCTGGCTGTTGTGGCCAGGGTGTGGTAAGTGTCGGGGGATGGGTGGTGGAGAGGAAGACAGAGGTGGGGAGGGCCATGTAAAACATGCTAAGGGATTTAAAAGAGAAGTGACACCACTTGATTTAAATATTAATGTACATTTCTCATAATCTTTTGAATATGACTTAAGTGTGGCTTAGCTAAAATGTTGGGGGATGGAATACAACACTATTTCTAGTCTAGACTGAGTTGTCCACTTGCAACCATCTGTTACTATTCCTCAAATCTACTTCCAACAGACAAAGAAGCTAGTTGTAGGCTTAATGGTAATTGAAAAAAAAGTCATGCTTGCAGTTAAAGTCATAGTGGCTGGTTCTCCTCACTTAAAAACACTGCTGTGGAAGAATATTTTCAAAGACAGGATATTTAACTTAGACTTTTATTAATGAAAGTGAGGTCGATGAGCCTGTAGTTATTATTTCTTCCTATGAGTTATCATCTAAATATATCCACTAAGCAAATACTAAGTGTATCATATTATACTAGATACCAAGGATAAAAAGTGACAAAAGATTTGATTTTTCCCTTAAGTGGCCTGTTATCTGGTGGGAGAAATTGAATGTGTACCCGAAAACATGAAAGTTTAAGATAGTACAGGGGGGATTTAAAAAGAGAACTACTGTAGGAATTTGAAGAAAGGAAATTGCTGAGAGCTGGAACAATCTGGGAACCTCGTCAGAAGTAGGTCTGGGATTGAGGAAAGTAGAATTTAGATTGGCTGGGATGCATGAATGGCAGTCCAGGCACTCAAGGCAGAGGAAATACCATGAGCCTATCCAAGGATGCAGGAATGACACTGTGCACTTAAGAATTTTGTGTGAATTTGTATGACTAGGTTGGAATGTGCGCATAGATTGAGAACAGTGAAATTTTTTTTAAAGAGACATTGTAAACAAAACATGCATATCTTTCCAAGGATTTTATTTCATACATCCTTGTTTTCAGACTGCCTCCATGAGCCTCTTGGTGCCAAAGAGGCTGCCTCAAAAGTTGAGGACAGATCAAGAGGATTGTACTTCCTCTAGCCCATCTTCAACCAGAGAAGCTTCATGAATCTCTCTTATATGATGTGGTTCTACATAATATTCTTTTAAGAAAGAAAGAAGATTCCATTGCAAAAATTAATAATAATAATACAAAACAGCCTTTGCTAAATAAAATAGGGTTGATGAAGAACAACATAGACAGAGTAGCCACAGTGTTCTGAGGGTGTAGTGGGAAAGGAACCTAGATTTAGGAGAATGATTTGTGATATGGCAGAAGTATCCTACTTTGGACTAGGAATGGGATGATAAAGGATAATGGGAAGGGGTGAATAAGAACAATCTTAATGCTTGGAATTGGGCAGAGCATAAGACGAAGGAGTCAAGGATGACTCCAAACTTTGGAACATGGGAGACAGTAAATGCTGATTTTACTGACAAAGGCAAAAGAGGTCAGAGGCAAGTTAGTTTGGGGAAGACATGAGTTCAGTTACAGGCAGGCTGTTGTGGTTGCAACGACATTCAAGGGTCAGCTGTCCAGCAGACGTTATGAGACATGTCATTGAAATGCAGGAGAGCAGTCAGGGCTGGATCTATATGATTTTTCAAACATTAGTGAACTATACACAGACCAACACTAAGCAATTGCATATTTGCACTTGTCACTAACATGATATATTAGCACAGGGCAATAGCACAAAGATATTTAAAATAAAAATCTCGTCAAGGCCAGAGAGAAGATAGAGATTTGGGTGTCATTCTCAGGGAGGTGACTGTGATATCTGGAAAGTCAATGTAGAAAACAAAGTCTCCAGATGGACACAGCCTGAGCACCAAGGTCTCTGTGTAGCCTGAAGAAAGATGACCACTGAAGAAGCAGCAATTCCCTGTGAATTTGCACTCCTGCTGCTTGAGACACACACAGACAGGACCAGTCTCAGCCGCACCACAAAAGCAGAAGAAGCCCTTCCTCCTTCTCTGTTCCTAGCATGCAGTTCTGACATGGACGCTCTGTGCTCTTTCCCACCCTCATCAAAACCTTAGGGAAAGTTTCTCTATTAGCCAATTATAACTTACAGGAAATATAAATCATCATGCTGCTACATCCACAGTTGTATAGTGGGAAAAGCTTTGCCTTTTTTATAGAAAAAATTACATTTACAAAAATGTGAGTTAGGTCATGTCAGCCCATACTTGAGACTTTTCAACAGCCTCTTAATTGCCTTCAGTGGCAAATTCAAAATCTTTAATATGATTTACAAGTCCCTGCATGATCTGTCAGATTTGCCTCCCCAGCTTCAGTATCAGTCATTACTGATGATCTCATGCTGGTCTGTCTTCAATTTCCTAAAAGTATCCAGCCCTGTTCTTTTTAGGACCTAGAATGCCTTCATATTACCCCTCTGCCTTTCACCAGACCAACTCCTAGTCATTCATTTATAGTTTAAATGTCATTTCTTTAGGGACACCTTCATGACTCCCTAACCAACACTCAGGTCCCCTCGTAGTCACTCCCTTAGTATAGTTTTAAAATTGCTAACACGTAGATATTTTTGTGATTGACTATCGGATTTGTCCACTGCAGTTTCTACAGTGTTTGGAACAGTGACTGGCAGATGGCACATATTCAACACAATGTTTGAATAAACAGATTTGGGGAAAATGAATTTTTCTAAGGAAATCATTCTCAGTGTGTGAAATCATAGCACCTGCTATGGAGCCAACATGTAAAGAAAACTGCACCAGCAGTTCTCAGACCTTAGTGGACATCGGTATCGACTACAGGGTTTGTTAAAATACAGATCCATTGAATCTAATCCCAGAGTTTCGGATTCCCTTACTTTGGGCCCATGAATTTGTATTTCTAAAATGTTCACAGGTGATACAGATGTTGCTGACCTAAGATCCACTGTTCTATGCTGCAGAATCTCCCGAGGCTTTTTGTGCAAAGAGAAAAGAGTCACTAAGAGGATGAGTTTGGGAAGCATAATTATCATTTTCTATCATTTTATTGAATGCTAATACAAAGCATAATTAGATTATTTTCCACATTTACGCTGTGGTACTAGCAGAGTGCGGGCCATCTTACTAAAAACCATAGACTGACAAAGTCTCAACTTTAGCAGAAACTCAGATGTCATGGTTTAGATATTGTTTCCCTTCAAAACCACTTCCTCATCTCAACCCCACCCATTTCTGTCAGTGAGTCCACAGATTCCCTGAATTTTCAGTTTAGACTATTTCCTTATGCAGTGAATACATCCAGTCTCTAACCAAATCCTATTATTTCTTCCTCCAGATATTGCTTTTGATGTATGCCTTCTTTCTCATTCCCAATGTCCTGTTTTGGTTCTTCCTCTTTTAGCCTACTACCTCTTTTGGTTAGGACTCTTCCACCAGGTTAAATTTGACTGAAACCAATTCAAATTAGGTAAGAAAGGGATGTATTAGCCACAGAAATGGGAGTTCAGGTATACAGATGGCTTCAGGGACTCAACCAGGGTGCTTCTTCACCCCCTCTCCTTCT